TGCCACGCTCCCTCTAAGCTGTGCATTCATCCTCACTAAACATTTGTTTGCATGACTGCAGAAGAAATCTTTAATTTTAAACGTTTTTCTAACATAACTAGAGCGCTGGTAATTCACCAGTTTGACCACTGGAGCCAGCAAGCATGGCCTCAATGCTGGCCCTGCCCATGGGGTGCAGGTGGTGGTGTGGGCCCCTTGCCAGCTCCGTGTCACCCCCCTGTCACCACTGTCCCTTGGCCCAGCATCCAGGAGGCTTAGCTGCTGCCTCTTCGTTGGAGTGAGCGCTTCCAGCTTCACAGCAAGACCTCAAGGAGAGCCAGATGATAGAGCAGATGGCAGATGACTAATTTGGCAAAGTTAGATGAGTGGAAATTGTTTGCTTTAATTGCTTGTCAAGTCCAGTACCTACATTATAGTTAAGGAGCCACTATTTACCCTCAAAATAGAACAAAATGAGCAAAGTGTGTGTGTGTGAAGAGTAGGGAGAAGAAGGAAAGGAGATGTAACCAGAGACAATAATTTGGTGTGCACCCTTGGAAAAAAGGAACCACTGGCAAAGCATCTTGTATTAATTTCTGCTTTTTTCAGCGTAGCCTTGTGGCACATCTGTCCATTGTGCCCTTCCATATCATCGTATGTACAAGAGGAAGCTAAAGGTGAAACAACGCCGTAAATGTTTACATAAAACAAGCAGATGACAATGGCTTGACTCGGTCGGCACAGGCAATTATCCTTGAAATGCCGCAGCATAAATCAGGTCAACATTTTGATGCGGTTTTTTGGTTGATGCAAACACGAGCACTCCATCAGTAAAATATGCTGCGCAGCATCAACCAGACAGGTTTTGGAGAGCTCGGTGCAAGGACGGGGTGCCGTCAGCTCGGGAAGTGTAATCACACATAAATAATCCTTCTCGATGAAGTTACAATCCCTGTCAGTCTTCAGTGTGCCTGTTTCCTTGTTTGGAGCAGTGGGAAGGATCTGCTTGTTGCAGATGGCAGCTGATGGGCCCCGGCTGGAGGTGGCATCACCCTCCTAAAGCATGGCTTAGTAGTCTTTGTGAGAACACTAAGTAGCTTTGATCCCTAGGGAAGGAAGGAAAGCCTCTCATTTTAAAACCAGAAGCCACTAGGGTTAAAGGAGAATGGCTGGTGACCTCAGGTAGGTTTTGGCCTTCTCCCAGGAGCCATCTGTAAGACTGTGAGAGCAGGCGGGCTCTTCATTAGGACATGGCTAATTGCAAGCAAAAACCAGGCTTCGGCAGCTCCTTCAAAGAGAGCTGTGAAATAATGGATGGATTAAAACTGCTTACCCCTTCTTCTGTGCCCAGGGTACTCAGACTAGTGCTGAGAGTGGAGAGCTTTAGGAAATGAATGGGGGCTGCTACGAGATGCTGGTAATTAGCTGCTCCAGTGTTTTCCCCCCATCTGGGGGGTCTCAGCAAATTGCCAGGAGCGTTTGCAATTATTAATAAACAGTTACTTCGGCTGCCTTTCAGGAAACCCTGATAATGGTGCTGTCTGTAAGAAGGCAGCTAATTAAGTAAATAAATTAGAGGGAAGTACCAAAAGGCTGTGTTAGGAAGAGGTTGTTTAGCTCTTCCTGGCTGGGATAAAAGAACATATTATTCTGTTTTCCTGAAATAAGCACATCAGAGAGTTGAAGCCTCTTAGTGGTTCTGGCCTGCTTGACAATCCATCAGCAAGAAGGGGATGTGTGGAGACACACTGCTGTGCTCTCACACGGAGATCTGCGCTACCTTGTGTGTAAGGCAATGCAATAACAGGGAGACCTTGGGAGCACGGCGTTCCCCAGGGGCAGCTCTGTTGAGTCCTATTGAGATGTATCCCAATGCCCGAGGTGGTGAGGATGGCATTCGTGTGTCCTGAGTAACTCCAGATGTAGGCAGATGCAGTGGGAATGAATGAAAACATGAAGTGGGTCTCCCTCCTTCCTTCCCTCATTTAGCTCCTCTGCTGAGCTGGGAGGGTCACCAAATCAGTTAGAATTACAAGAAGCAGAACCAGACTGAGTCAAAATGTTTTGTAATACAGCGTGTAGATGTATTTGGAACAGATTGCCCAAGGAGGCTGTGGATGCCCCATCCCTGCAGGCATTCAAGGCCAGGCTGGATGTGGCTCTGGGCAGCCTGGTCTGCTGGTTGGAGACCCTGCACACAGCAGGGGGTTAGAACTGGGTGAGCATTGTGCTCCTTTTCAATCCAGGCCATTCTGGGATTCTGTGATTCTCTGTATCATCAGCGGAGCAAAGAAAGAATGGCCCAAAAAGTGGAAACTGAAGGACATTTTGAAATGCCTCAACTGTTTCCTACCTCTGAGTGAACGTCTGAATGGTGTGGCTTCGTTCGGAAAAAGTGTCAATGGGAAATTAATTTCAAAGACATGTGCATGAATATTGATGAAATATGTAAATTCAATCCAACACAGACAATTATGACTGCTTTAATTAGGGCCATTAGGAGCTGCAGCAATTCTCTGTCACTTTAGGTAGCTGGGAATAAGTCCGCAACTGAACCTGAAGCATCAGTGCCTAAGCCACTGCATCAAGTGGAGTGGGCATGAAATAATTATATTTAAAAAATAGTGTTGGAATTAATTTTATATTTCCCTTCTTAAAATTCCTATTTCAGTGAGAATTTGTTGTCTTACCCAAGAAACCTATGTTTTCCCTACTGCTTGATGCTGATTTCCATTCTCCTTTGCAAAGAGGCTCCTACTGCAGGACAAGTTGGCTTCTGGATTGCAGCAAAGCATGGAAAGGGTTATTGGGGTTAGAAGACATCAATAAAATGAATTAAAATGAACAAGCTGTAGATCTACTCCGGGTCATTGGGAGCAGGAATTGTGAGTTTTCTGTTTTTGTTTCTGCTGGTTGCGCTTTGCACAGCAGGATGCTCTGTGTGCAGCTGCCCCACGTGGACCAGGTTTGGGATTTAAATGAGTAGCTGGTACAGGACTGCCCAGGTCTGAAGGTGCTGGGAAGGTGATGTTAGAGGTGGCCATCTCTGGGCATCTGCCTGTAACTGTTTTGCAAGGTTTGTTGCCGCAGTCCTAGGAGAGTGCGTGGCACTGGGCTTGTTTGTAGAGAAACGGATTTGAGAGCATCATAGCACATTGGTACCCTGGCACAGGTCAGCAGCTCTCTGGGTTTGTGTATGCAAGTGCCTATAAGGATATCAGTTTCTCCTGCGTGTGCAGCATCGAAATGTCTCTGAAGGGCTTCCCTCATCGAGACACCTGTGCAAAATGTGCTGAGCAAGTCAGTCACAGTCACAACAAGCGTGCTTGTTGTCAGGTTTACATTCAGATCCAGTGCTGGGGGAAGCTACAGGCTGGGAATGCATTCAAGCTAGTACTGTTTAGACCACTGTTAGAGACAGATGTATTAGTAGTTTTTATGAACCCAAGAGAGGATGTGCTGCAGGGACTGCTTTCAACACATAATCTTTATTTTCATACCATTCATCAGTTTCTGGGGCTATGTAAGATACTGTGTTTACCGACGTACGACAGAGTGCTTTGAAGAGGTTCTTTATGAAATATAGATGACAGTGTTTTTGTATGGCACAACAAGGAAATGCGCTTTGTTGCACTCATGTTTATTTTGGCACTTATTTCAGAGATGCTACAACATCTAAATGCCTGATGCAGCTTGAAAGACTGTGGGAAGGATGGAAGTGCTCTCCTAGCTCCATTCTCCTGCAGGAGTCAAACAGCCCATTCATTTGCCTGGCTTTGCTATTATTTTGCATTAGCACATCAGTTTCCATCTCAGCTGGTTTCACTCTTGTTGCTGCAAGAGGGGGCTCCAAATGTTCTGCCTCCCTACAGCAAGAAATGGCTAAATTAGCTTTCACGAAACATTTAATGTGTGTGCAACATGAAACGGCAGCGTTGCGGTGGATAGCTTTATTAGCTGAGCTGCTGGAATTGTTTTCTGAGCTATGCTGATCCTTAGCAGCGATTGCAAAATGGAACAGAAATTATTTATTAGTCCTCGGGAGCCGTAAGACAGAATAATACTTATTCGGCTGGAAACGCAGTCAATCTTGTTGTGATAGATGCTGCTGCTGCTGCTGCTTTCAAGGAAAAAGCAAACAAACTGATTTTGTAATTGGGAGCAATAATGCCCATTTCAAAAGTTTGGGTAGATGCAGATTAATTTGCCCACAGGTGAGAATAGACCAGAAGCTGTGGGTAAAGAGGAAGAGTAAGTGTGCACATGAAGAAGCCCAACAGCACGCTCAAACATTTAAGTAGCATTGCTGTCAAACAGGCTGAGAGCTACATGAAGTAATGCTGCTGTAAAATGCTGCTTCTGTATTTTTTTACCGGCTTCATTTTTGTCCCTGCTTGATGCACAGACTGAGCAGAGCAATAATTCAGCAGTAGCTTTGAACCGGACTTCAAGATCAGAGTACTGTAATATTAAAGAACAGCTTCTGAAAACTGACTGTATTAGGCTGGGATTGCCTCACTCATCTGGCACATCTCCCTCGTGCATTCAGATCACAGTCTGGTGGCTTACGAAAAGACTTCTTCCTCTTCCCTTTCTGCTGTTGAAGTGTGCTAAGCAGGAAAGAGCTTGGGACCCTGGGGGAGAGGAGGGAAGAACGATGCTGGGTCCAAGCCTTTTGGGTAGCTTGCTCTTGATTTTTTGGCAGATATCAGCTGATAGGAAGAATGCTGGGCGTTGCGGGTGCGCTCAGGTCTCTCTGTCCCCATGTCCTTTAATTTGTGGGCTGTTATCCATTTGTTTCATGTTGCTGCATATGCAGCAGTGAATACCAGCACCTCCCTTTGGTGAGAGGTGTTTAGCTGGCTGAGGCGACCACGAGTCTTCCCACTGCTGCTCATACCCATCCTGTGAATAATTCAGAATGTTTATTGCAGTCGCCTGTATCCCTGGATGTAAAACTTACCTCTTTCTTTGCTCCTGTGTTTCCTTATTCACCTGGCTGTGCTTGTTGTTTCTTGCAGTGTGTGCTGGCACAGAGAACAAGCTGAGCTCCCTCTCCGACCTGGAGCAGCAGTACCGGGCCCTGCGCAAGTACTATGAGAACTGCGAGGTAGTTATGGGCAACCTGGAAATCACCAGCATCGAGCACAACAGAGACCTCTCCTTCCTGAGGGTAAGCGACCTCCTCTTTATTTCCTTCATCTTATGCATACAGAGGAGCAGCCATGGGTGCTGGGCTGGAGTTATGAGCCTAATGGACCATTCAGCGTTTGGAGGAGGTCTGTGATAGTTCAAGGCTGTCCTGCCTCCATGGAGCTGGGGTTGTGTGCTCTGGCAGTGGTCTCACTTGAAAGAATTTACTGTTTTGTATAAATAATGTGCTTTTGCCCTTTGGGTTTGAGGAAGAGTATTTTGGCGTGGTCTCTGCGTTACCTGTTAAGATGTTAGCAACTGCAGTGAGTAGGATGTGAACGCCCAATTAAAAGAATTGAAGCCCGTTGCTATTTGGCATGCCAAAATTGATTATGTTGGAAAAAGTGTCCTAGTTAGCAGTGATCCAACACTCACAAGCTGGCACTGGAGGACGCTGCAGGCAATGTGACTGCAAATATGAAAGAAACTGGGTGCCTGGGTATGAGGGCCATGGCAGGAAACCCAGCTCAGGGTGGTGGGCTTACGGGCTGCACAGGTCATGCTCTCAAATAGAAGTCAGCCCGTGGCATAGGCACTGCTTGGATTGCGTGGAATCCCTCACATCTCATTCTGCAAAGCTCTCAGGTCACATTTTGAGATGTATGTCTGTGTGTAAGTGCCATTTTTATAAGAAGCACGTAGGGGAGTGGAGGAGTTCCAATCCAGCAGCAGGCAGCCCCGCAGGTTGTGTTACACCCAGGCATTTGCTTCCTGGCTCACGGGTGAGCCTGGTGCTCAGCTTCAGTTCACAAAAACCTGTACTTTCTGTTACAGGTTCTAACAGCAGCAAAGCAGATTTTCTAATAGTGTGCTTCGCTGTGCTTCACGTTAAATTTGTTGGGGATTTTGCAGGATTTCTGCTCTGTACATCGGCCTTTATTTGCTCAAAGCTGTTGAAAGATCTGCAAGCTGAATCTCGCTACCAGATAGCGAGATGTCTGGAGTGCAGTTTGGGGTGCTAATTGCACTCAGACTAACAGGTTTCCTGTTAATTTGAGCGACGAATGCCTCGGAAGTGAATGCTATCTGTACATTTCACAGTTGTGACAGGTGGGAAAAACGCATATGTGCTTGTGCTCTGAAATAGATAGCCTTGGGGCAGCTGGACTAATGGTGCCCACTGCATAGACTTCGTGCGAGGGCAGGATCCCTGAACTGCTTCAGGCATCACCGGGGTTCCAGAAGCCCTCCAGAACCCTCAGTGGAGTCGTTGTGCATGCCGCCAAATTCACTGCAGATAGTTTACCCGCTTCAGCTTCCTACTCTTCCTGCTTTGACCAGGAGTAGGTGGGGAAAGCAAAATAATCATCAATGAGGGACTCACCGTTACTTGTGGAGAGCTGCCATAAGGAGAGTTAAATGTTAGCAGTAATGTGGCACTAAAATCAGCAAATGAGAGCAAGGAAGAAGGGCGCTGGTAGTGAAAGAGGGTGGTCCAGTCATGTTTGCTTCTTGGTGACATTTATTATTGCTTTTTTATTGGTGTTCCTGCTTGTTGTACTTGAGACTGCACTCTCACAGAAGTCCCAACAAAGAGCAGAAGTTGAAACAACACCCAGCGAACTAAAACTCTAGGTAATATGATAAATGGCAGTCATTAAAATAGAAAACCAAACAAAGAGAACATGTTCTTAGCGAGGCGAATAAATAAATAAGATTTGGCATATTTACACCGATAATTCAACATTCATTAGTTAGGCAGTATTACTTGTTTTATCGTTTGAAAAATGATTTGAATGGCCAAATGAAGGTGGCAGATGGGAGACAAGTAAATGAAAGGCCATTTGTCTCCTTGACTTGAACATGTTGAACTCATCCTGCGCTGTGACGTTCTGCCAGTTTGCTCTCTTCTTCTCAGTCTCCTGCAAAAATTGCCTACTTTACCTTCAAGCAGGCCATTAGTGGTTTGGGTTGTCTGTGTATCTGTCCAGTGGGCACAGTGGCACTGTGTCCCATTGGCCGTTTGAACATGCTCCTTGTTCTTCCTAGCAGTCCTGATTTGGTGTGGGCTGGGAGCGTGTGTCTGCTGTCTTGGTTTGGGGAGCTGGGTGTCACCTGCTTGTGGGCAGCCAAAGTGAGGAGAGTGGTGTGATGTACTCTTGCGGAGGCAGAGCTGGGATTTTTCTCCCTGTCTGGAATTTCCTAGTAGATCAGATACCTATTGCAAATGACTGATTCCAGAAGCAGGACCCTGCTTCAGTGCCACTTGGCAAAACTGACAGCTTGTATTGTGGGCAATTCTTACTTTCGTAACAGTGTTTGTGTACTGAATGTTCTAAATGAAATACAAAATTAGTATACCATAAAACCATCTTCTATAGGCTCTCTTCTTCAACACGTTTGGTAAATGACTCCTATCTCTGACCACCCCCCAGCCTTTCAGCAGTTCACAGTCAGAAGATTGTCTTGTCCCTGGATTTTATTTAACCAATTCAGATTATTTATTTTTGAAGACATGACTGAAGTTCTGCACCACGCACTGCAGTAACTCTCCCAAACGATTGTGAAACTTATTTCTAACTGCAATCATCGGCCTTCAGAGGTGATCTACCACTGCTTTTTAAATTCTTTCTTCATTTACCTTAGCGGTGCTGCTGTAGTTCCGTGAACCACAGCTGTTAGCACTGCCTGTTGTTTGCTGGGTGTGAGCTATGTGGCAGGCAGCTTTATTGCTGCTGCAGTTTCTGCACAAATGTGTAGCCCCTTCTTTCCTCTGTCAACATGCATAACTGTGTGCTTTGAGCCCATATTTATTGTTTTCCTTACAGTGACACTGTAACTTTGAGGCAGGTGGAATGTGAGGGCTGGGGTTTTCCATGGAGAATATAGTTTATTTTTGCTCCTGGTTGTGTTCAGTCTTGGAGGAAGACTGGTTCAGACAGAGCTCCTCTGAGGGAGGCTTCCAGCACAAGCAGGACAGGAGTTGTTGCACACCTCGCTGCCCATCAGCGTTCAGAGCTGCATCTGGTCAAAAAAATAAGTCCTGTGTAGTTTTGAAAAGCTTTCTAGTCTCCTGTAACAAAACAGGTTCCGTGCAGACCCTTCCAAAAGCTCTGGCTGCCTTGACAAGCAGGAGAGAGCCTGCAGGCTGAACCTACGTGCTGAGATGAAGAGCTCCAAGGCAGGAGTCCAGATTGCTCAGCAGATCACCACAGGGAACAGCCCTGTGTCCTCTTCTGCAGTGAGATCTATTCCCAGCTAGCAAGCTTGGATAAGGGACAGGGAAACCCCAAAAAGGAAGTGCTGTAGGGTGGCTCTGTCTGTAGGGAGGGTAATTTTCTCCAGAATTGCATTGTAGTCCATCCCTAGAAGTATTAGAGGGGTAAAGTCGCCCTGTGGCATCTCTTCTGCAGTGAGTTGCATCCGGACAGCCTCGCCAGCATGTATGGCTGCATGTTTGGCTGGCAAGAAGCAAAGAGTCCTCCATGTAATACCATACCTGGAAATCAAATACATGCACTTACTTATTTGTAATTGCCTTCCTAGCATCTTGCCATTAGAATACAAAGCATCAGAGCTGAGTGGAGCAGTGTGCCGGGCAGGGCAGTGTGTGCCACACAAGCCACCTCTGTGGAAAGAGGACACCTCTGACCTTCTGCCTTTATCTGGCTGAGACACACAAAAGCAATCAAGGCAGCTGCTGTGTTGGGTGGATTACAAGAGGCCAGGGGCATGCCAGGCCGTGCTCCTGGCATGGACAAACTGTTTTACACTGGCTGGGATCTGCTGCCAACTGTGTTGGATGAACCTGAAATGTGTTAGAAGCAAGTTGGATCCCAAACTCAGAGGGTGGAGTGGGAGCAGAGGCCAGATGCATGACACATCTGTGGTACAGCTCTTCTCCTGGAGGATGGCTTTTTCTTTCCTTTCCCTTTGCTTCTGAAGAAGCTGTAGCTTAAAATAGTCTTGGCAGGGAGTATTGATTGCAACAGCTCATGTCTGTGGGGTCATCCTGATCCCTCCTTCATGCAGAAACGGGTGGTCAGATGGCAAGCCATGCTGCAGCCATACCTTGAGAACAGTGCAGTGCCATGATACAGTAAGAAGTGAAATGATGAAATAAAAGAGTGGTTCCAGCAACCTCAGGGCAGGAATCAGCATTTCCAGAGCAACACCCATCACCTCTTGAAGCACTCTGCTGTCCTGCTCTCCTCCCTCACTACTACCTGCCAGCAGCATTCACACTGCCTTGTACCTGTGGGGTGAGACAACACTTGGGTGCTTGCTGCATGCACCCGTATTGAAGACCAATGTTACACACCGTGCAGTCCCTAGCATCACCTCCTCCAGCATCATCCCAACCCCCCCACTCCCCAGGAGCCCTTTCCAGCAGCCCTCTTACCCAGAGCTGCCTGTGTGGCCCCTGACCCCCACCTGCTCCCTCCTTGCTCTCTTGCCAGGACAGCCCCATAGTGCCTGGCTATGTGTGCCCCCTCCGGTGACAAATAACCCTGAAGCCATCGGCCGCCGCAGGAGGGGCACGGGGTTAAACAAATGCCTTTGCTTTTGCTCCTAGCCCTGCAGCTCAGCACGCAGCTATTTCTGTCCGGCTCTTGCAGAGTGTTTTTTTAATGCTGTTTACAAACTCCGCAGCTTCATCTCACACTCGGCTCATGTTTTTGCTGGTTCCCCACAGCCAGCTTTCCACTCTGTTTTTACACTCCTCCCATCTCTGTTCTTTCATTTTCATGGCTGCCCAGGGCATTGCAGCAGGCAGGATAACTGGGCTGGGAGGATCGCTTCTCTTCCATACGCAGAGCCAACCTCCTGCACCTTCAGTAATGTGATCAACCCATCGGTGTTTACTTTCTGCCATTCTGTCTTTCTGTCATCCTCTTTTCCCCACCAGCACTGCCAAACCACCCCAGGGCTGCTCTGCAGTGCAGCTTTGGCTTGGCTTTGAGGCTCAAAGTGTAACTTAAAGACTTTGCAAGCTGGTACTCTTCTGTTTGAATTAAATTTTTAGCTTCTGCAAAGCAA